GCTGGTCCTCTCCCTGGGCAGGCCCTTCGCCGAGAGGATGGCAGAGGTGCTCGCGGCCTGGGAGCAGCAGCCGCAGCCCACAGCCTTCTTCACCACGGTGATCGTCTTCCTGGGGAAGCCCGACGGAGGCCGCCGCCCGATCGGCATCATGAGCATGTGGACGCGTATCTGGAGCAGGGTGCGCCGCCGCTACTGCGCCATGTGGGAGGCGGACCACCCGCTCCCCGAGGTCTGGGGCAAGGACGCGAACACCTGCTGTGACAGGGCGGCTTACCTCCACAACCTGGGGCTCGCGCTCGCCCGCCAGCTTGGCTTCGAGGCAGCCTCCGTCTACTTCGAGATCAGCAAGTTCTACGAGCGGATCGACCATGACCTTCTGCGCCAGGCCGCGGAGGGTAACGGCTTCAGCGTCGGTCTGCTCAGGGCCCTCTGCGTACTCTACGCTGGGCCGCGCCGCGCCTCGGCGGACGCCGCCATCAGCGAGCCCATTGAGGTCAGCGGCACCATCATCGCGGGCTGCTCCTGCGCGACGACGCTGGCCAGGCTCATGCTGCACGGCCTCCTGCTCCAGGCCAGGGCGCTGCTGCCAGTCGGCAGGGTCGTCAACGTCATCGACGACATAGCAGGCCACGGCATCGGGTCGGCAGCGACGCTCAGCCGAACGATCGCGAGCTTCGTCAGCGGCGTGGTCGAGATGCTGGCGGACAGGCGGCTGCCCATCAACTGGAAGAAGACGAAGGTCCTGGCCTCCACGGCGGGCCTCCAGCGCCGCCTGCAGCGGGAACCCGACTGGCGGCTCGCGGCCGAGGCCTTTGTCTCGGGCCACCGTGACCTCGGCGTCGACGCCACGGCTGGCAGCCACAGGCGAGTCGCGACTCAGGTCGGTAGAGAGCTCGCGGCGCTGCGGCAGGCCAGCAGGCTCCACAAGATCTTCGGGCCTGGCCTTCGGCAGGCAAGGGTCTTGCGCGCGGGCCCCTCAGCCAAAGCCCTATGGGGCTCGGCCTGCAACGGCATCCCGCCTGGCCGCGTGAGAGCCCTGAGGCTGGCAGCGGCCAAGGCGACGGGCAAACTGGCTCCTGGGGCTGCGCTGGGCTTCCTGCTGCAGTGCTCGCCGCGAGGCTGGCGCCAGGACCCGCTAGTGGTGGCCACGGGCTTGGCCGTCCTAGCGTGCACCGATGTCCGTTGGGCAGGCCAGGCCTCCGCGGCGGCGATCCAGGCCTGCATAGCGGAGAGCGCCAGGATCGTGAGGCTCCAGCGCCCTTGGGCTGCCGTCAGGGACCCGATCTCGGCCTTGGTGCTCACGCTGCAGGTCATCGGCTGGGGCCTCAGCGACGACGGCGACTCCCTGCAGGACGAGTTCGGCTGCTGCTACTCCGTCCTTCGGTACCCCCCCGCCTTCCTTGCGGAGAAGACCAAGGAGGCGGCCAGGAAGGCGGCAGCCTTCCAGGAGTACGACGCCAGGCCTGATACCCTGTGGCCGTGGCAGCTGCCGCCAAACTGGCGGGCCATCAACCAGCTCCTCGGCGCCGCGCCCACGGAGACGTGGTCCAGCCACCACTGCGGCTGCCTGCGCAGGCTGGCGTCTCTGTCACTATGGCCGCAGGCCAGGCTGGCCAAGCGTGGCACCGACATCGACGACCGCTGCCTGCTCTGCGGCGAGGAGAGCGGGACTCTGGCCCACCGCCACCACAGATGCCCTGCCTGGGAGGGCTGGCGGCGAGACCGCAGGCCCGCCGACTTGAAGCGAGCTGCCGAGCTGGTGAGCACAATGGGCCACCGCTACGAGGAGCTCTTCTGCCAGGGCCTCTTCGTGGACGCCCAGTACCTGGTGCAGAGGCCGCGCTGGGACCCTCGCTGGGAGCGCCGCTCGCGTGGCTGGGACGAGGGCGCGCTCGTGGTGCCCGCGGGCTCCCTCGTCTTCACGGACGGCTCCTGCGTCAACAACGACTTCCCGATGGTCAGGAGCGCGGGCTGGGCAGTGGTGGTTCTCGCGCCCGACGGCGAGTGGTTGGCGCAGGCGTGGGGGGCAGTGCCGCCTGCCCTTTTGCCCAGCCAGGCGGCGAGGGCAGGCGAGGACTACGCGGCGGTGGTCGCCCTCACGGACATCGTCGGCCACTACCACCTCATGATCGACTGCCTCGGCACGCTCGGGGCTTGCAAGGACGTGAAGAGGGCGGCGGCCCCGACGGCCCAGTTTGCCCACCTCTGGGCGAGGGTCGGCGACGCCGCCGAGGGGGTGCACGTGACGCACATCCCCGCCCACCGTTCTCGGGCGGCAGTCGAGCAGGGCGTACTCTCGGAGGTGGAGCTCTACGGCAACCGCCTCGCGGACCAGCTCGCGAAGGCGGGCGCGGCGCTGCGCGCCATCGCCGACGAGGAGGCCCTCCTGCTCCAGGGCTGCCTGGCCCGCGCCCGCGACGCGGCGCGGTGCGCCGCCGAGTTCGAGGTCCAGGCTACGGAGTCGGGCTTGCGGGACTCCTGGCCCATCAGCTCGCTGGAGCTCGTCGACCTCACCCCCTACATGGCGGCGGAGCTCGACGGCGAGACCGACTTCCTGCACGCCGCCGCGGCGGAGCCCGCCCCTGGGACAGGTGGATTCAGCCCAGCGACGTCGCAGTCCCAGAGGCGCGGCGAGCTCGAGGTGATGCACGACGCGGAGGTGCGCGGGGCTGCCGCTTCAGCGACTGGCTTCTTGGTGGAGCCCGACGCCGAGCCTGGCGATGACGTCGGCGTAGCGCAGCCCTCGGCGGCTGACGGCGGCCCCCGCCTCGCCACGGCGGCGGCCCTGGCAGCGGTGGCGGCAGCTGGCGCCTCCAGCTCGCGGCCTTCGCCCGCGAGGCGCCGCCCCGCCTCGGCCGAGTCGCCCGCGGAGGTGCTGCGCCGTGTAGCCCAGCGCAGGGCGCAGGAGCATCCGAGGCGCCGCGAGGCCTCGGCGCCCGCGCCCAGCCCGCGCCTGGCGGCGGCGGAGGCGACGAGCAGCGGCCCAGCCCCTGCGGAGGCGGCAGATGCGACCCGTCCAGCGGGATGGAGGGTCAACGGCCACCTCCTCATGGAGTCGCGCGTCGAGGGCGACGTTTCCGAGCCCTTCCTGGTCTGCGCGGCCTGCTGGATGCACTGCCGCCTCCCCAGGTACGCGCGCCGCGGCCTGGGCAAGCCGTGCGGGGCCAGCGTGGCGGCGGGGCAGCCCAAAAGCAAGAAGGGATCCAGAGCCCAGGCGCGGTCGGACTTCGCACGTGGGATCCCGCCAGCGTCGAAGGAGCCGATCGCGCCGCTGGCCTCGCCAACGGCAAGCACGCGCCTGCGCTGGGCGGCGGCGCTCCAGGCCAGGCAGGGCCACGGCTCGGAGGTGCAGGCGACCGAGGCGGCGCCCGAGCCAGCGCTGCGGCAGCCTGATGCAGCCCCGCCCACGCCGCCTGCGGCTGGCGCTGGTAGCCTGATGGCTGCGCCGCCGAGCGCCACGGCGCCGCGGCGCCTGGCAGCGGCGGCCCCGCGGGCGGAGGCAGCCGAGCCGAGGCGGATCCGCCCAGGGCTCGAGGGCGTCCTCCGAGCCCTCGGCTTCGCGGACGCTGCGGCGGCCCGCGAACGCGGGCGTGCCGCGAGGGCGGCGGCCGTCCCGCCTGCTTGAATTTGTTTGCATGAAACCGTGGACCTTTGTCCGCGCCCACAGAGATAACAAAAAAATGCTCCCACCGTTTGATCAGCTGACGGTGAGCATCTCTTCCAGCACACAAGCTGAAGCTCCTGGACGGGGGCTGCAGGCCCCCTTCCTCTAAGCCACACCAGCTATGGAAGGGAGCAAACTGTTCTGAGCTAAGCAAAGGAAGCTTACAAGATAAAACAAATCACACGCGGATAAATAAAACACACAGCGCAATGGGAAGGGATGTGAGGGCGGGATTGGATGTCAAATATGGCGCGATCGCGCCTAGCTTGCCTCCTCTCCTCTCCACTCTTCCGCCTCCTCTCCACTCCCCCCTCTTTCAGCCCCCCTCCCTTTTTTGCATCCACTCAGCCGCTTCTGGTGGAAAGGGGTCCTGGACCCTGGGGGCCTTCCCCGGTACCAGCTTTTCATCCTCATTTGTCCTCTGAAGGCCCCGGGAGCCCGAGAGCAGCGAAACCTGCCAGGCCCCTCCTTCCTCCAGGATGGCCTGTCCCTCGTGCCGACCCCATTCCCCCCCCCCCCCGGCCCTCAGGGGCAACGCTCGGCGGTTACAGGCTCAGGGGGGAACGCACCGACCCCCAATCGTCCACTCTTCGCCGCTAGCGGGCTGACAGCCCACCCGGACCAGGAAGGGTGCGATTCCGCCATCGGGGCCTATCGCCGATCTATCGGCGATGTATCGCCGATTTGAGCATGATATCACCCCCTGGACCATTCCGCCCCCCCCTCTCCCCCTGTTCCAAGCGCCAGATTCGTTTCAGGTGTCCACTGGGGCCCAGCGTGTCGGCCAGAGGTACCAAACCCGCCCGCCACGGGATCGTTGGGTGCCGATCAAGGAAGTACGGTCGAGCATATGATGAAGAAACCTCCTCTCGAAGAGCTTGGCCAGCGTTTCTCAACCATCTTGATGAAAAGCTGGCCCAGTTTCTCAAGCACGTTCGTCCCTCCAGCGTGAACGAAGAAGGTTTGACCACGTTTGTTCGGAGAAACTTCTGGAACACTGGCCCAGGCTTCTGAACTTCTGATTTAATTCATCTGTTCGGATGTGCTCCTCGACACCCAGGTGGTAGGCGCCAGACCACGGGGGTGCTGGCGACAGGGCGCCCCCACTAGCAACGACAGGCCCCGACGTCCGCCGATGTGTTTTTGTTGTCCATCCGCGGCCCCAGACCTCCGGACTCCCGACCGCTCCCCCCACGCATGGGCAGTTTGTCGCCCAGGGGCCGATGACTGGCCTTAGAGGTCTAAACCGAGGAGACACGCCGGGGCTGCACACACCATTTCGTCGGAGGTCTGGGGACAAGGCGCACACCGTGCCCTCCTTCTCCTGTAGCCGCAGGACCCAGAGATGGACAAGAAGAAGACTTTCTCCTACCGCCCCTGGATCGAGGTCGCCCGCTGCCGCTCGGCTCCGCTCCAGCGAGGGCATGAGCGGAGGGATGGATGTAGGGAGGGAGGGAGGACGAGGAGAAGGGAGTAGGAGGACGACGACGAGGAAGATGAGGGGGAGGAGGATGAGGAGGAGGAGCAGGAGGAGGAGGAGGAGGATCATGTATGAGGACGAGTTGGATGAGGAGGAGGAGGGCAGAGGGAGGGATGGAGGGAGGGAGGGTGGGAGGGAGGGAGGGGGGGAGGGAGGAGGAGGAGGAGGAGAGGATGAGGAGGGGAGGAGGAGGAGGAGGAGGAGGAGGAGGAGGAGGTAGGAGGAGGAGGAGAGGAGGAGGAGGAGGAGGAGGAGGAGGAGGAGGAGGAGGAGGAGGAGGGGGGCGGAGGGAGGACGAGGAAGACGAGGAGGTCGAGGAGGACGAGGAGGTCGAATGAGCAAGGAGGAGGATAAGGAGGAGAGAGGAGGAAGAAGAGAAGGGAAGGGCAGAGGGAGGGAGGGAGGAGGAGGAGGAGGAGGAGGAGGAGGAGGGGAGGAGGAGGAGAGGAGGAGGAGGAGGAGGGCAGAAGGAGGAGGAGGAGGAGGAGGAGGAGGAGGACGACGAGGGAGGAGGAGGGGGGCGGAGGGAGGACGAGGAAGACGAGGAGGTCGAGGAGGACGAGGAGATCGATGAGCGAGGAGGAGGAGGAGCATGAGGAGGAGGAGGAGGAGGAGGAGGAGGAGGAGGAGGAGGAGGAGGAGGAAGATATCCGGGAGGCCCTCAGAGTCGTGGACGGGCGGACCCAGATGGCTTCGGACAGCAAGGCGCAGAGGTGCCTTCCCAACCTCTTCCCGCGGGCGGCCTCGCAGCCAGAGCTGATGGCTGCAGACCCGGAGGAGGAGGACGTGGACCGCTTCCTGGCGGAGCTCCGGAAGGCCTACACACACGCACCGCGGAACAGAGGGGCGGGGCCAGGCGGCACTAGAAACGAACACTGGACGTGGATACCCCGCCACGCGGCCGCGTGGGAGAGCTTCGAACGCGTTGTCCTGCGGCTGCAGCTCGGCCGGGTCCCTGGAGAGGTGCACGGGCCCTGGCTGTCAGCACGGATCCTTGCGGGGGACCAGGAGGGGCAGAACAAGGTGCGCCCCCTCGCGCTGGGAAGCGTCCACAGGCGTGCCGCTTCGAAGGCCGTCAGCCGGATGTTCACTGGCAGGGTGGCGGCGGCGCTGGGGCAGACCGAATACTCAGTGGGGAGCGCCCGGGGTGCGGAACGCATGCACAAGGCGGCCTTGCTCGACCTCGACAGCCGGCCGCACTGCTGCAAACTCAGCCTGGACGTGGGCAAGGCCCGCAACGAGTTCGACAAGGCAGCCGCGGCGACAGCTGTGTCGACCATGGTTCCGGACCTGCTGCCTTGGGCTCGTTTGGGCCTGAGCACTGCTACCACGCACGTGCACGTGGCGCGCGACGGCACGCAGACCCCCCTCCCGAAGGAGCGCGGCGGGGACCAGGGAGACGCTCTCACCAACCAGGTGTTCCCTCTGTGCTACCTTGGGGTGGCCAGCGCCGTGGAGCAGGCAGCAGCCGCAGCGACAGAGCCGGCGCGGTGCTACTGCTACCAGGATGACCTGGACGTCATCTGTGACCCGCGCAGAGCTGAGGCCGCCGAGGGAGCCTTCGCCCGTGCCTGCGCCGCGGCCGGCCTCCGGGGCAACCCGGACAAGACGAAGCTGAACCCGGGCCAGGAGGTCGACGTGGCGGCGCTCCCTGGGCAGCGCGAGCTGGAGCCTCGGGCCTTAGTGCTCCGCCACGGCGCGCTGCCGCCCGTCCCAGCGGCCCCCGCCGCTGCGCCGGCCGCATGGGGGCCTTTTCGCCGCGGGCAGCCCCGAGGTGGCTGCGCTGCAGACGGCCCGCGGGCGGCTTTACCAGAGACTCCGCGCCCTCCGCGCGGCGGGCCTCGACAAGCAAGGGGCGGTGACCCTCCTGCGCACCCAGGACGGGCTCTGACTACACTTTCCTGGCGCGCACCTGCGGACTCCCGAGCGAGGAAGTGCGGGCCCTGGACCGGGCGCTGGCCGCAGAGTACGAGCATGCCCTGGGCGAGGCGCTGGACGACACCGCTTGCCGGAAACTCTTCCTCGCCGGCGCGGCCGGGGGCGAAGGGCTGCAGAGCGCGGAGCTCACAGCCCCCGCGGCGCACGCCGCCTCCTGGCACCTCTGCTTGCCGCACTGCCTGCGGCGGCTGGGCCTGGAGAGCGCCAGCGCCCTGACCGCGGTGAGCACCTGGGCGCGCCGCAGCCTGCCGGCGGCCACGGCGACGCTCCGGGCCGCTCTGGGAGACGACGCCGCCCACGTGGGCGACGAGGCACTGGCAGCAACGCAGCACGCTCTGGCTACGGCCCCCCTCGCTGCGGCTGCCCGCCTCGCTGCCGACGAAGCGGCCGCGGACCCCCTGGCGGCGGCCGCCCTGCGCTCCGCTGGGGGCCCCGGGGCGGGCGCGCTCCTGCAGGTGCCGACGTTGCCCTGCCACCGACTGACCAACGCGCAGTTCGACATTGCGCTGCGGCACCGGCTGCACCTCGACCTGCCGGACTGCACAGGCCCCCCGCTGGAGGCGGGCGCAGCGGGGCCGCGACAGCCGAGGCTCTGCCAGCACCGGCACCCGCACGGCGGGATCTGCGGCGAGCCGCTGGACCCCAAGGGGCGGCACGCGCGCGGCTGCGCCGTGGGCGGGTGGCTGGTCTGCCGCCACGACGCGGGCTGCGCGGCTCTCGCGGAGTGGTGTGAGGAGCAGGGGTGCACCGTGCACCGCGAAGTCCTGCTCCCCCACGCTGCGCCCGCGAGGCCCGAGGCGCGGATGGACCTCGTCGTCCACGCCCCGCGCCTTGCTGAGCCGCTCATGGTCGACCTGACCGTGGCGGGCGCGCTCGCGCAGGACGCGCCCGGGCTCGGCTCTGCACGGCGGGACGGCGCGGCGGCGGCGGCTGCGGCGCGGCGCAAGCGGGCCCGCTACCCCGGGGTGGCCGTGGTGCCTTTCGTGGACGAGGACCACGGCCGCCTGGGCGAGGAGGCGCTGGCCCTGACGCGGCTGCTGGCGCCCGCGCAAGACACGGAGCGCTCGGCGGCCATCCGGCGACTGCACCAGTCGCTCGGGTGCGTCCTCCAGCGCAACGCCGCCGACGCGGTGCTGGCGGCGACGCAAGCGCAGGGCTGGGCCGTCGGCTCCCGGCGCGGGAGCCCAGCAGGGGGCTGAGCTGCCTGCTGACGGACCTGCGCTACGGGCGCCCCGCTGCCGCTGGGCAGGCCGCTGACGCTGCGGGCCGCGCCCGAGCCGCGCGCGCGCAAGCGCCGAGCTGACGACGCCGCCCGCCGGGCTGGCGGCGGCGCCGCGCTGGACCGACGGCGGGGCGCGGGCAGGGCGGCGCTGCGGCGGCCGCGCGGAGCTGAGCGCTCGACTGGCAGGGGCGCTGGCGGGCGCGGCGCTGCTGCCGCTGCTGTCCCCGCGGGGGGCGGCGCTGGGGAGACGCGCCGCAGCGGCTGGGGCGGGCAGAGCTGGGCGCGCAGCGGCCGCGGGGCCCAGGGCGCCGAGCCACCAGGGCCCGACAGCGGCCGGGGGGCGCAGAGCTGCGGACGGCGCCGGGGGCGGGCGACCGGCGCTCGCGCTCGGCCACACCATGCTGTCCGTCGGCGCCAAGCTCCCGTGTAAGCGAGGTATAGGCCCCGGTCGGCGCACCCCCTTGGCCCTGGGGCTTGCTTGCCGCTGAGCGGTGTGCTTGTCCTGGGGTTTGGGGGTTGCGCCGGCTCCCGATCACAGTGCTTCCGGCGCGCGGCAGACCCGCGTCCGCCGGCGGAGGAGGAGGAGGAGGAGGAGCAGGAGGAGGAGGAGGAGCAGGAGCAGGAGGAGGAGGAGGAGGAGGAGGAGGAGGAGGAGGAGGAGGAGGAGGAGGAGGAGGAGGAGGAGGAGGAGGGGGGCGGATGGAGGACGAGGAAGACGAGGAGGGCGAGGAGGTCGATGAGCGAGGAGGACAAGGAGGAGGAGGATGAGCTCGATGAGCGAGGAGAAGGGGGAGGATGAGCAGAAGGATGACAAGGAGGAGGGAGGATGAACGACGGCTCCTCAGATCTGCCACTCCGTCGGCGGAGCCCAACGCGCGCGTGTTCGGCTCGGCGGCCGCCTGGGCAGTGGAAGCTGTCGTCGTACAAGGACGGCGGTCGTCACACATTCCACCGCATTGCGTGGCACACGGTCAAGGGCTTTTGCTCAGCGTGTGGCGGCGCCAGTTCTGGCCCACCACTTGTCGGCGCGACGCGCTAAGCGCCTCCCAAATCCCAAGTCGTTAACGCTCCGAGCATTTCCCGGCATGCTGCCCCCCGGAACGGAACGACACGGTGTCCGAGAGCAGGGCGCAGCGTGTCGCCAGGGCCGCCGCCGCGAAACGTTAAGCAAACGCTCATCAGCGTATAGTTCGAACGCCCGGCCTCGTCTTCGCCTGGGAAGACGTTGTCTCTTTAGTTTCACGCTTTGCCTGTGAAGGGCACCGCGCCAAGCGGGCGCGGATTTAGCCGTCCGTTCTCCTACTTTCAGGTTGCAGGCCTGTCGCCGTGGTGATTGAGGGCGTCGGAGAAAAAGATGGAGGAACGAGGAAGGAGGAGGAAGCAGGACGCGGAGGAGAGGAGAGGGAGGGAGGGAGGGAGGGAGGGAGGGAGGGTGGGAGGGAGGGAGGAGTAGGGGAAGTCCTGGCCGCGACGCTCGGCGTGTCTGATCGGCTCTCCGTATTGGCCCCGATCCAGCTGGACCCTCTTCCCGTTCACCCCTGCCACGGGGTGGTTTGAAAGCTGGTGGTGGCCGCCTGAACCCTTTGCCCGAATGCCATCCTTGAGATTGTCGCCTGCCCAGTTGGCGTCGGGGCCCCGCCAGTCCAGCTGCAGGGGGAAGACCCGGTCGTCCTCCACCTGGGTGCACCAATCGCGGAAGAGTGGGGAGCGGACGGCCCGCCGGCACCCCCAGTGAATTGGCCAGAGGCCCCCATCTGCGGTGCAGGCGAAGGGGGCCAGTCCCAGAAGGACCACAGAGATCTTGTACGCAAAGGCGATCCGCTCCGCGACCTTTACCGGCCTCGTGGTCTGGGCTTGCGGCTTCCCTCGCGCCGCGCCGAGTTGCGCGTGCGGGGGCCTCCGGGGGACTACTGAGTGCTCCCGCTGCCTCGCCAGGCAGCCGTGGTGGTGTTTGCTAGAGCGCCTGAGCCATGAGGCCCGCTTCCCCGCCATCCTCAGCCGCACCGCGTGCGGGGCGGTCCGGGGGAAGGCCCCGCCATCCAGGGGAGGTGGACTCGTGGCCGAGCGAGGCGTGGGGCCCTCCGGCCCCGACGCGGTGGGGCCCTCCGTCCCCGACGCCACCACGCGACCACCCAGTGGCCGAAGCCTTGGGCTCAACCTCCCCCCGAGAGAGAGAGAGAGAGAGCGAGAGGAGGCCCGCGAGCACTGGAACGAGGCCGATCAGGAGGATGGGCACCATTATGAACCTGGGGTCAGGGTACACCCCTGCGGCAAAGCGCAACCTGCTCGAGCCTGATAGGCTATAGCAGGAGGGGCGAGAGGGAAAGAGAAAGGGTACGGCAGTGGCCCAGGGACTCACAAAGTTACAGGCAAGCCTGAATAAGACACGTACTGGGAGGGGATTGTATGGAAGGATAGGGTGTCAGATATTGTGCGAGCGCACCTAGCTAGCCTTGTTCCCCCTCTCCCCTCCCCTGCCTCCCTCCCGTCCCCTCCCCACCTGCGCCCGCCAGATGCCGATAGTGAAGCTGGCTTCCCAGGCCCGCGGCGGCACCTCTCGCTCCTTGTCGGCCGCGGCCTAGCGCAGCGCAGAGAAGCGGGCTGGGGCAGCGGCTCGGAGATGAGCTTATAGCACGAAAAGGTAGCTTGTCGTGTGCCCAGACATGCTCTCGTCGCGAAACAATCGCGACCTCGCCGTTTTCGGCCTCCCGGGGCCCTCGCTGGGCCCCGGGATCGTGAACTTCACGATCGGGATCCCGAGTCGGCTCTTAGAACCGACTCGGGATGCAAAGCCGGCTCTGGGGAGATGACATGGACTTCCGGGGACTGCGCAGTGAGCAAATCAAGACATCGCACGTCTGGGTAGAAAAAGGGGGCCCTGGTAAGCTTATCACCATTTTCGGGCCCCCGGGTCCTGGCCCTGGGGCCGTCAAACAGCGATTGAGGATGAAGGGCCGGCTCTGGAGAACGCTCGAGGGTCTAGGGCCCGTTTCTCTCAGGGCACCTTTCCTCGTGGGCTTGGGCAGGGGACGGAAAGAGCAGCCCCGGCGAGTGGGAAGCAGGCCGAGGAGAAGAACAGGGAGGGTGGAGGGGAGAGGGAGATGGGGGAACATTATATACAATGCACTGTGTACATACATATCAGCGTGCACGGGCAGAACGGTCATTCACTGTCCCTGGGTGCGTGGCTGAACTGGGGTTCTGCGGTGCGGATTGTTGTCGCGTTGTTGCGTTGCGTTGTTGCGTTGTTGTCGTCGTCCTTGCCCGCGACCCGCCCGCGACCCACACGCGACCCACCCCGCGACCACCCCGCGAGCCACCCGCGACCCACCCTGCGCCCCACCCGCGACCCACCCGCGACTCACCCACGTTGCTTTGACGAAAAATAAGCGCCTGCGGCGGGCACGTTGTGCAATGTGTAAAAGCTTTCGCTGCCTGCAGCGGGTTTCTTCTGAATTTTGAAAACTGCCGACGGCCCCGGCTCCCCCGTACTCTTATCCGCAGCTGCGGGGTGCTATGTGAATGCGTATATATGTATGTATGCTTGTTTGTATGATTGTATGTCTGTGCGTATGCATGCATGCATGCATGTATATGTGGACGGATGCATGCATGCCTGGATGGATGGATGGATGGATGCTTGTATTATTAATGTATGGATGTGCGTATGCATGCGTATATGTCTGTCTGTCAGTCTGTCCATATGTCTGTCTATATGTATGTATGCATGTGTGTATGTGTGCATGCACGTACATATTTATGCGTGTATGTTTGTATGCTTGTATGGATGGATGCATGTATGTAGGTAGGTAGGCAGGTCGGAAAGATGTATGTCTGTCGATATGTATGTATGTATGCATGTATGTATGTATGTATGTATGTATGTATGTTTGTATGTATGCATGTATGTATGTATGTATGCATGTATGTATGTATGTATGTAGGTAGGTAGGTAGGTAGGTAGGTAGGTATGTATGTGTGTGTATGTATTTTACACATACGTATACACATACACAGGGAAAGAGAGAGAGAGAGATCATAGTGGGGGTAGGGCGGGGGGGGGACAGAAAGAGAGATAGAGACAGACCGAAAGACAGACAGACGGACAGACCGATCGAGTGAGGAAGAGAGAGAGAGAGAGAGATACATATATATATGTATATATATATACGTATTCAGTTATATATGTATCACAACTTATATACTACAGTCATATGTGTATATATATATAGAGAGAGAAAGAAACGAACCAAACATGCATGCACATGGTAGAACAGGAGAAGGAGACCAAGAAGGCGGGGGATGGGGAGGTGGGCGCACAACACCAAGAGTAGGAGAGGCGCAGGGACAGGGGGACGACTGAATGTGCTCCAGGTGCGGGCAGACGTGGGAGCAGGAACGCGAGCCGGGGTAAACGTGTGAGCCGAAGCGGTAGGAAGCAGCTCGATCAATCGAGTCCCCCGGACACGCTCGCGTCCAGCAAAAAATCACGACGGGATATTTTTGGGCCATTTTCGACCTCGGGGGAGTCGCTGGGGGGCCTTCGCCAGGCCCCGGGACCGCCAAACAAAAATATCCTGGCGAAGAACCCAACCATAGGCAGGCGTGCGTACCGAAAGGACGAAGGAAGGGACGAAACGAATGAGGGGTGTGCCGAAGTGAGGGTTGTGCCGAAATAGAGGCGGGTAAAGCATGCGAGCCCTGCCACTGGGGCCTTTGTTGGAGCTCCCAATGGGATTACGAAACGTGTGATGGTCGCGCCGAAATAGAGGCGGGTACCGTATGCGAACCCTGCCACAGGGACCTTCGGTAGAGCTCCCTATGGGACGATGAAGCGTGCGAGGGGTGTGCCGCAAATACGGAGGGCAGAGGCAGGGATGGGAGGAGGTAGGAGGGGGCGGAGAGGAGTAATTAGTAACGCGGGGAGCGGTCTCTTCAAAACGACGACACAACACCACACGATGGTTGGGAACAACTCGGGATGAAATACCGGCCCTGAGGAATGGGTCGGGGCTTCCAGGGACCGCGTGTTAGAAGCTTACGACACCGCATGCCTGGGAATATGACCCATGAGCTCCTTTCGCCGCATTTTTTCGAGTCGGGCGTTTTCGCCCAGCCTCAGGCTTCGGGACCATCACATATCGAACTGGCCATCACAGATCGATTTGGTCGCCATGTTCAGATATTCCTTCGTCGGGTCTTAAAGGTGGTTCAGGGATCAGAGAAAGAGTGGACCTAGGATAAAGAGGGGGATCGGAAGGCGGAGGCGGCGGGAGACGAGAACGGAGATGGAGGCCACAGAGGAGCGAAAGGGAGTGCCAGGGGAATCCGCCTCCTCCTCTGCCTCCTTGGGGACTGCGACGCGGAGCAAATCAGCTAGCACGAGAGAGAGAGAGAGAAGAAATGAAAGAGAGAGAGAGAGAGGAGGACTCTGATTTGCAATGTGCTATACGTACGTGTGTTCTATATTTGTATATGTGCACACAGAGAGTCACATCACAACTAACAATATGCACATATGTATCTGGTTCGATGTAAATCTATATGTGACTGTGTATATGGAGAGAAAGAGAGAGAGGAACAAAAACACACACACACAGCACGAAATGAGACATATACAACAAACCACCAACCAACCCGAGACATACCCAACCCCGTCTCCACGCGAGGCGAATCTTTGCACGCACGCTCCGAACAAAATAATACATCGGCAGATATGCACGATCTGCGCTGCCCTCACCTCCGCCGTGTCCCCCGTGAGACCACAAAAGTGGCAACGCTTGCGCAGTTCTCAGCATACAAGGGAGCAGCGAGGTCTCAAATGGATGCGGGTGGCCCCCGATTCCGCTGGACCTTCCCGGATACCACGAAAACGGCGACAATTGCGCAGTTCGCAGCTCCCCAGGGAGCTGCGAGGTCTCGGCTACTCCGCGACTCCGCCGTGCCTCCCACGAGCCAACGAATTTTGCGACAACTGCGCAGTTCTATGCATACCAGGGAGCCGCGAGGTCTCGGGTGGATCCGCGTGGCCCCCCCCACTCCGCTGGACCTCCCAGGCGCCATCGAAAGTGCCGACAACTGCGTAGCTCGCAGCATACTAGGGAGCAGCGAGGTCTCAAATGGGTGCGCGTGGCCCCCGACTCCGCCTGACCTCCCAGGAGCCCACGAAAGTGGTGACAACTGCGCAGTTCGCAGCGCTGCGAGGTCTCGGCTGTGTGCGCGTACTCCGCGACTCCGCTGTGCCCCCCTGGGAGCCCACGAAAGTGGCGACGGATGCGTAGTTCGCAGCTCCGCAGGGAGTTGCGAGGTTCCTCCTGGGTCCGCGTACTTCGCGACTCCGCCGAGCTGCGAGGTCCCGCCGTCGTCCGCGTACTCCGCGATTCCGCCGTGCCTCCCGGAGCTGCCATGCGAGGTCTCGGCTACTCCACGACTCCGCCCTGCCTCCCGGGAGCCCACGAAATGGCAACGTCTACTCAGTTCGCAGCCACCCAGGAAGCTGCGAGGTCTCGGCTACTCGCGACTCCGCCGTGCTGCCTCCTGGGAGCCCACGAAAGTGGCGACAATTGCGCAGTTCGCAGCTCCCCAGGGAGCTGCGAGGTCTCGGCTACTCCGCGACTCAAACGTGCCTCCCAGGAGCCAGCCACCCAGGGAGTTGCGCAGGAGGAGAGGAGGAGGGGGGAGGAGGAGAAGGTGTGCGACTCGCGACCGCAGTGCTCTATGCAGAACGAGAACCCAGCACACAGGAGGTTTGGGAACAAAAAGGAAGAGACACACAAGCTGGCCTGGCGAAGGGCTCAACCTGCGCTGGTGGAGCGAGGGGGAGGGTTCTCCTCACGAACTGCGCGCCGCTGGAGTGGGCGTGCTTCCGGGCTCTCGGCGGGGCACGGTCCGTGTGAGGGAGGGAGGCCCTGAGCAGTGAGGTCTGCTGTGACGGGCGATCGCTTGCCCGCGCCAGCGACCCAGAGATCCGACGCTCCGAAAACATTGGAGCGGCCGGTTTGGGGTACTGTTCGGCCTCCAGAGGCTCTCGACGGGCCTCGGGTCTGTCCAAAAAACGACTCAGGATGGAAAGCCGACCATCGAGAAGTTGTCCAGACCTCCGAGGGTTCACGCACCCCCCAAAAATGGAGTGCCGGGTGTCTGGTTGTCCGATTTTTTCAGGTAGGCGTTTTGCGGTGCAGCAGGCGCGTGAACGGAGAAGTTGGCTTGCTAATGGGTGCCCCACGAGACCTTACCTCCCCCTGGTTCTGCAGAGCTTTGGGGCACCTTGCGAAGCGCAGAATCGACTGAGGATGTCCGCGTAGATTCTGAGAGACAAGAGTTCAGCCAATTCGGCTTGTACCATTACCGTTACGCTACCGTTGCGTCAGAGTCACCAGTGAGGGTCACTGTCGTCCTGCAGCCCATGGGTGTAAGCAGATTCTAGACGAAGAAGAAGAAAAAACAAGAGCTCTTTTTTTCGAATGTGTCTACTGTACGAGCAGCGCCTGAGATCGGAAGGCTCCCAGAGCTTCGACATTCTTTGATCCTCTTGGTCGGCACGTCGGCGAATCAAGCGAGGCCTTGTTGGCGTTGTCGCTGTGGAGAGGCTGTATTCAGGCAGGCCTGTGTAGGATGAGGATACCTCGTCCCAGGGCAATCCGGAACGCACTCATCGCCCGCGTCCTGCAGACCCGCGGGATCTCAGAGATTTTATGGATTTGTCCGCCCTCGAACTGTGCGTCCTCATCCTGCATTCTTCTGAAGGTTAAACTCCCCCCTCCACACTGTCTACTGCTGCCCTGCCGCGCCGCTGTTCTCCTGCCGCTGCACCCGCGGGAGCGTTGGCCAGGTTACAACCTTCGACGATGACGACGAGCAGGCGGGGCAGCGCCAGGGGCCCAGACCTCCGACGCTGTGATTCTTTCAATCCCGGCGTTTTCCCTCGCTTTCGGCTGCTGAGGCCCTTTGACCGTGCCCCGGCCAGGACCATCATCATGGATCCGGGACGAAACGCCAGCCACTGGGAAGGGGTCTGGGCCCTCCCTGGTGCCGCGGATTGGAAGAAACATGTCGGCGGCTGTCAGGGGATGCGGCTTTTGCTCTGCCTGTGCTCCGATTCATCCTCCACCCGCTTCTGGTGCTGCTGCCGACGTTGCTGCTGTTCTTGCCCCTCCCCCCTCCTCCTCCTCCTCCTCCTCCTCCTCCTCCTCCTCCTCCTCCTCCTCCTCCTCCTCCCCCTCCCTATTCCGTAGCCATTTTGGCTCAAGATGTTTGTGCCCCGTGGCAGAGCACGGAGACCCCTGGTCCGGGGACTGCAAGGACCGCTGCTTTCCGCCCTCGCCGTGCCCGCGGCGTTGTGCCTCTCCATATACTTTGCTGCGTGGTCGCAGCTTTCATATCACACGCGAGCTGCCCAGACTACAGACTCGCTCGTCTTGCGATGGGAATCCCTGGCGCCTCTGGCTCCGCCGACTCCTGCGACAAGGGCAAGGGCAGGGACGCCTCCGTTGTCGACCCATGGGCTACTGGCGTTCAGAAGCTTGCAGCAACCGGCTTTCCTGCACACCAGCGGAAGGTGCTCACTGATCTGCTCCAGACCCAGGTCGACAAAGCTACCGCAGCCTTCGAAGCCACCTCCAAGCAAGTCGCTGCCGCTGCGCAAGCCGAGTTTCTGGCAAACGTCACGAAGGTCACCGAACAGCTCAGCACCCGTCAGAAGTCTACCGAGCGGGACACTGCCGAGCTCAAGGGCCGTGCTGACCGAGCTGAGCGACTCCAAGGCGACCTCCAAGCCAGTGTGGTCGCACTTCAACAAGCGCTACGACATGCTGAAGCTCTCCACCCAGCGTTGGACTTGGACGCCCTCGGTGCATGGGATCGTCCACCGAATGCAGCTACTTTCTGGTGCGGTGCCGCCTCTGAGTTCTCCGTCGCCGCGCTCAAGTCCGTTCTGGCCCCCTGGTTCGACGCTGCTGACGTGGACATTAATGCGCTCCGCATCAACTCGGAAGGCCCAGCACGGAGGATCTCATTCACGCTCACTGGAGGCAACACGGTTGCTCCTCCGCGTGCCCAGGCACTACATCGCGCACTTCGACAAGGACGAGAATAGCGTCGCTTCCAAGTGGACGCCGAATCTGGCCCCACCGCCCTCTACGTTTCCGCGGACAAATCACCACGCATGGTCAGACAGGAAGTACAACTCAAGAAACTCAACAAGATCGTCAATGACAAGTTCCCCATGCTCGAGACTCGGACCCACCGCACTGGCGGCTTCCTGTCCATCAACGGCGCCCCCATCGTCCAGGTCACGGCTGGTGTCACTCCCGACGAAGCTACCCGAGTTCGCTGGTCCGATGCAGCTGCTCCCGCTGGCATCCCCATCACCGAGCACGGGCCGGGCCCCTGGCTGCCGCGCTGGCGGCCGCCTTCGCCAACCCACTGGAGGCAGTACGGTGGCTTTAGCACGCGATGGTCGCCGTGGCTCACAAAACCACACCCCGATGGCTTCAACCTGGTCTCGTGGAACACGCAGGCGCCCAACGGCAGATCGGCAACACGGCGTGCTCTCAAGCGACAGGTGCTGCTCCCCTACATGCGGCAACGAGCGGTCATCGCTCTCCAAGAGACCCACGGCAATAGCATCGACATGGACATCCTGGCCGCGAGCACTGACCACAAGTACATTGCCTTCCACTCAGCTCTCATGACAGATGGCCATTCCTCGGAGACCGCAGGCGGCATCGCATTCCTGGTTCCGTTTGATCGAGCCGAACTCCAACTACCACCTGATCAACGGCCCCAACGTACATTCCGTGCGATCGTCACTGGCCGCATTGGTGAGCTACGTGTTCAAGATGGAGCACGGCAGCACGAGACGACCATTTTCAACATCCACAACTACGACCTCAGCGACTCTGATCGACAGCGCTTCAGAGCTGCGCGTCAGGCAGCTGCTCAACGTTCTGCCCTCCACCCCGACAACCACGACTATTTCATGTTCGGCGACTTCAACATCACACATGCGCCGCAGAGGAACCTGCTCCACCCCACCGCTGACTCCACTGCCGAGCGTTACCACTACCAGCCCATCTTCTGGAAGAACATCTTCTCGCATATGATGGAGATCACAACAAAGGCCACCACTCATCGATGCGCTGCCAACCTGACGGACACAGGTGCTTCGTCTCGATCAACGCGTTCAACATCCCGCACATCGAGCCCCTACTTGTCGCCGATGGTAGACCGCTTGATCGAGAAGGAGAGCCCATCAGCGATCACAAAAGCATGCATCTAAGACTTCGACCTCGACAACCACGCCCAGTCAGCGAGCGTGGCATACCTGCCTCCCTCTTCGAGTCCAAACACTACAAGTTCTACTTCCAGCGCCTTGTCGAGATGGCCGACCTCTCTGCCGACCCCATCTCCAATTGGCGGACAATGAAGCACATAATGAAGCTGACAGCGCGCATGTCTCGCGACACCATCACCACCTTCCCCGCCTCCGAACTCAAGCCGATTGAGAACCAAAGGGAAGACTCACATGTCATAGCAGAGGCACGTGCACTTACGCTCCGCAGTATTGCCAGGGCCATCTGGTACCAGGACCTCACACTTGCCCAGCGGCTTCGCAACGACACCACCGCAGGGGCAAAGCACATCGACATCCACCACCACACGATCTCGCTTGTCGACCGCACCGCCTTCGAGACCGAGCACTCCGCCATGCAACCCCAGATCGCGGAACAAGGTCGTCGTGCTGCTGCCGCTCGCTCGCGAGCTGCCTGCGCTGAACAACGGCCCGACGTTGGCGAATAATGGCGACGCCGTGCCCGCCGTATTGGTCAGCGCAGTGAGATCTGGAAGTCATTCTCGAAGCGCTTGATTCTCGCAGGCGTCCGCATCACCGACAGCAGAGGCCCGACTCTCGCCAACGATCCCACGAGTACGCACAGCGCTATTCAATCTCACTGGTCGAAGGTTTTTGCTGCCAAGCCAGTTGACACCCCGGCGATGCTGCAGTACCTGGGCATGGTTTCCCCACCAGCACCTCCACGACACCTGCCTCTTTCAGGGATTGACGAAGTCCAAGCTGCCGCCAAACTTGCCAGTGACTCAGCCCCTGGACCTGACGAACTTCCCTACCGCGCTCGGGTACGATCCGACGGCAGCATCGCTATCCTCCACGACCTACTCCACTCCATTGCTCACGGCGGCCCGATCCCCTACGACCTGAACCACGCGCTCATGGCTATGCTGACCAAGGGTGACGAGCCCATGGGCAACTATGAGTGCTCCCGCAGCCCTGACTGTCTCCGCCCCCTCGCCATGAAGAACAGCGGCATCAAGATCATCGCCTCCGCCGCGAACCGCATCCTCAGCTCCATCGCGTCGGACACCGAAGATGAACAGCAAGGATTTGTTAATGGCCGTCAGTTTCTATCCAACATCGTCAAGGTTGGCACCATTGCCCGCCTCGCCAGTATCAACAGCGACGCCTCCACCCTGATGCCCTGGTTCGCCAGCATGGACATTGCTGCAGCGCTTCCGAGTCTTACGCATGCGTGGTTGTGGGCCACTCTACGGCGTTGGGGCATCCATGGCGTTTTTTTTTGTTTTTACCAATATCTTGCAAAGCTGCTACAACATGCCACTCGCCTTTCTCGAGCTTGGTGGAACCCGCCGTCCGCTGCTTCTCGCAGAATCGGGGGTTGCTCAAGGATGTCCCTTGAGTGGCGCGCTCTGGGCGCTCGTCTTCGACCCCGCCATCAAGGGCCTCAAGATGGAACTCACCACTCTAGGCAGAGGCCTTCTCAGCGCCTGCGCCGACGACTTGGGTATCGTTCTTGCTGCACTTAAAGACCTTGGCGCTCTCCTCCCACACCTGCAAGCTGCTCACCACCACGCTGGTCTCCGTCTCCAGCCGAAGAAGTGCGTCCTCGTGCCCACCTGGTCCCTGCCGACGCCCGAGATCACTGCGAACGTGCGTGCTACTCTGACCCAGATCTACGAGCCGTGGCAAGTTTTCTCCATCAACAGCTTTGCGCGATACTTAGGCGTGCACATTGGCCCAGGTGCATCTTGGCCGACAATGGCAAGTACCTGCCAACAAGTGGTGGGAGCGCATCCAGATCCTGAACGACTCCAACGCTCCCATCCAGCAATGCATAAAGGTGTACAATTCCGCTGCCATCACCTGTCTCTCGTACGTGGGCCAGCTCTTCCCGCCATCCCCGGCATTCCTATCCAAGGAGATCCACGGCCTCCACAAGCTCATCCGTGCTGCCCCCTCGAGCTTCACGAAGATGGACATTCTGTCGTTCGCGCTGTGGGCGTCTGCCACGATCCCGCAGGGCATCGAAACGCTTCTTGCTGCAACTATGTGGCGCGCCTCCACTACGACCGTTCCTCGTTGGCAGCCTCTACTTCACGAATTCCGTGCCCATGCTGAAGGCCTCCTCCCACTACGCGACGTTGTGGCTGGCAACTGGTCTGCCCCATGTTGGATCGACGCCGCTTCCATTGTGCAGCGCCTCGACGCCATTTACCACAACAGGCTGATCGTGACAGGCAAAGGCGCCGTCTTTAAGACTCTCGCGCGATCCACTGGCTCTAGGGTGGCTGCCGCCCGTGTGCTTCAACGAGCCCATGCGCAAGTTGCAGCAGCGGGACGGCATGCTCTCCAGGCCTCCCGTCGTGACAAGGCAGAGGATCTACGCACGCCCAGTCGTGACAGGACTGGTGATTACCAGGCACCATGTCGTGACATGACTGGTGGCCATCACACACCCAGTCGTGACAGGACTGGCGGATTTCATCAGCGACAAGCTGGGCGCATCTCTTCGGGCACTACTACCCTGAGCGTCCCATCACGAACTT